AGAGAGATGGATGTCTTGGGAGGAGCGGAGAGGATGGTTAGGGTCATACTTTGAAACAAGGTTGAAAATAAAGCCAGGGGCAGAGTTGTGGATTGCTCAGTAAGTGGTTCTTAATATTTTTAATTGTATTCTTTAGGTGATTGGAAGCCAGAAGGATTGGCAGAGAGGGGGTTGTAGATACTAAGCAGTTGGTTAGGCTATCGAGTCTGGCAGCAGCATTCATGATAGACTAAAGAGGGGATAGCCTATGTAGAGGTAGCCCAATGAGGAGGGAGTTGCAATAGTTAAGATGAGAGATCACAAGTAAGTGGATTAATAGTTTTGTTGTTTCATTGGTTAAGAAGGGGCATAATTTGGAGATGTTGCACATGGAAAGAATTGGGCTTTTTTTAAGAAGACATATTTTTAAAAAAGTGTTTTAAAATTAATTAGGAATAAAAGCTTAAAAAAGCACACTCTTGATTTTTTTTTTTCACTTTGTTTTTCCTATCTCTTAGCCTATAATAAGAAATCTGTGACTTTATTAAAACATTCTACCAAAGAAAATGTCCTTGATCAACAATGTAAAAATGATTTAGTTAGGCTAATTAGTCATAGAATTATTGTCAACTGTTGCATACTGACACTTCTATATATGGCCTGGATATGTTTTGGTTACACCATCAGTATGAAACTTCTATCTTTGCTATAAATGTATAATTTTAAATGCTTTGAGTTAAAAAAAAAAAAAAAAAGCATACATCTCTTCATGTTCAACCTACAGTTAATTAGCACGTATAGCAAGAAAACAAAAGCTGTATAGCACCATCTGTTGTGTGCAATCCCGCTGCTTTAATTGATAATGCCACTGACAAGACTGGAGACATTCTCAGGGGCCACAGATTATACAGCAAAATATAGAATGGCATGTCATAAAATATAAATGTGCTTGTCACTGTGTTTATTATAGTCAAATATATCCGCGAGGCATATACATCAACCTGCTGTTGCAAATATCCTTTTTGAAATGATGCTATATAGATTAAAGGGCAAACACTCCTACAGTAAAAACAAGATGAAAAATGCTGTAAAAGCCAACAACCACATCATTATATTATTTGCTGTAGGCCAATACACAATAATGGGCATTGTTTGCAAAGGCTGTTCATATATAGGCAAATCCTTTCATGAAAGATCCAAAAACTTTCCACTCTCGAAATAATCACCAAGCTCTGGCTGCAGATTTAGAAGATGCTTTCAACTCTAACATGTTACTTTCAAACACATTTTTCTCAGTAACGTTATGCATTATGTATCTAAACACAGAATTTTTTCCATATATTGCAGCTTGCCAGTCCTCGTGGATGTTGCAATTGTTTTCAGTTCTTTCCTGTAGACTGCAGTCCCTCTCCCAAACTATCGAGATGAGAAGAGAGGGGTGTTCTGTAGTCCCAACACACTTCCTGTCCTAGGGTGACAACACTGTCCCTTCATAGATACAGTACAGGTTGTTAGCGGCAGATACCAGGTGAAAAGAAAGGAAAAAAGCCAAAGAGAAAAAAAAGACCCAATACTGCAATATAATTTTTTTTTTTTTGGGGGGGGGGGATTTAGATACACTTTTAATTTGACTGGGCAAACACAGCAGCACTATTATTGCACAGTAATGAAAGGTGTAGCTGTTACTCATTTATGCCAGCACAGGGCACTGGAGTGTAAGGGCAGGGAGTAAATTTCCAATATGAAAAATTGCATTTTAAGGTAATTCCAAATGTAATCAGTTAAAACCATCTAGATACACTTTGATGAAAGATATTTTCCAGTGTGCTACATAATTTCTGTCACTAATGCTGTCAATTCTGCTCAATTAACCAAATAATTGTAAATGTTATTTTAAAAAAAATCAAATTACATTACAGTAACACTTACAAGAATACTTGTCTACATCCTGTCACAGAAAAAAAAAAAGGCTTCAGGTATAAAATATGGCCACCCAGAGATGCAGAGATACATATGATCAAATGCCAGGCAATAATAATGAAAGGTAAAGGTTTGGCACTTCCTAAAAGTATCAAAACTTGCCCGCCCCTTTCTGCTTTCTACGCATCACTATTGACCAGTGAGGCAGCCAATCATAGTGATGAGTCAATAGGAGATCGTTGAGAGGAGGAAGGTACAGTAGCAGAAGCCTCTATTTTTTTCTAACATTATGATCGGTTAACTCTGATTAGCAGAAGACACTTACTGAACCAAACTCTACCTATGGTTTTCTGGAACTAAATGTGGTTAAAACCTGTAATGATAGTATTCAGTTTATGATCTTTTTTATACCTTCCCACTCAAGGGGATGTTTCAGTAACAAGCTAGATGCACAGGAAATAGGCAACATAACACAACTGCCATTCTGCCCAAAGAGGACCGGTGGTGCTACATGGAAGAGGAAGCTGGGGACCATGCTGGAGCCTAGAGAGGATAAGTAGAACTTGGGCACTTTTTTTCAAATACAGGATTGGGGACACCCAAAGAAAAATAATTGAACTTGAAGTTCCAATTAAAGGGTTACTGAGTTAGCTTAAAGCTTTAGTAAAAGTTATATTTGTTAAGGGAAAGTTTAAGGATTCATTTTAAATTTTGGTGTTAGAGTTCAGGTGAGGTTAACTGCTAGGGTTGGGTAAAGGGTTAGAGGTAGAATAAAGTTCGCAAACATTTTAATTTACATTTATTTTAAAAGGCAAAAGACTCACACCAGAAACAGCTGCAAATCAGTAAACCTTACCCATTGGTTAGTGTTTCCCTGAGATTATTATTATTAGTATTATTATTATTATTATACAGGATTTATATAGCACCAACAGTTTGTGCAGCGCTTTACAATAAAAGGAAGACATTACAATACAATTCAAGACAATATGGTGATGAGGGCCCTGCCCCTTAAGGGATTACAATCTAATGGGAGGGGGTAATGATACGTGAGGAGGTAGCTGTGTGGGGATGAATTGTTTGAGAGATTGATATTTTAGTGGTTATGTTGGATAAGCTTTCCTGAAGAGATGAGTCTTAAGGGAACGCCTAAAGGTAGACAGAGTAGGAGATAGGCGGACAGGTTGGGGTAATGAGTTCCACAGAACGGGCATATAGGATAGCTACCTATAAGTTAGCACACATCAGATGCTGCCTGTTTTGAGGCCCATTTTGTTAAATGCAGTTTGAGTCTTTTAATAAGGGATTATTATTATTATTATACAGGATGTATATAGCTCCAACAGTTTGTGCAGCGCTTTACTATATAAGGAAGACATTGCAATTACAATACAATTCAAGACAAGATGGTAAGGAGGGTCCTGCCCGTGTGGGCTTACAATATGTGTGAGTAAATTCCATCTCAAGCAATTGAGTTCTATAAACAATAGAGGCGTAATCCACATTTTAGAAAAAAAAATAGATGCACACACAATAATGAAAAAAATGCATGTATTAATAACAATATTTTCATTTGAGTCTGCAGAGCATTGCAACTATGATCAGTTGATCACAGTGCATTGCAAAGGTTCCTGCAGACTCTTCCCCAGTGAGCTGAATATGGGTGTAAAACGAAATAAGGTCAGAAAATGAGTTGTTACCAGAAAAGGAATACAGGGAAATCGTTCAATTGGAACACTTGTTCTGGTAACATCTGTCTAAAATGGGGGCCTCTTTCTTAAGAGATTTCCACTTACGTCCTGTTGTGTGTGCAGGACAGGAAGTGTAGGAAAATCTCCCCAGTGGAACACAGTTGTAAAAAAAAGGGGTTTAGGTATTCCAATACTCAATTCAAAATGCAAAAAATGGCCTTATGTATACTTTATATGCAATATTTATTTGACTCTAAAATAATGTCAAATTTCATTTTTTTTACAGCAGACTTTCACTCTCCCCACTCCCTGTTTGTTAATCCACTCCTATCCCTCACCTCTCTAACAATTGGATATTTTTTGATTTATTTTTTTTTATTGAAAACTTGTTGGATTCTTGTCTAGAAGAGAAAGACATATTTGTTGCCTGTAGCCTCCTGGGGTACCCACATCATGCTTCCCATGAATCCTTGGGGTACTCTACAGCACATGCACCGTGGTGCATCATCGGGGGCCAGCAGCAAAAACCAGAAAGAAACAGCTGGTCCCTGATGATTCACTGCAGCACATGTGCGTCATTGGGGGGTTGGCTGTAGGAAGCTGGAAGAGACAGCTGGTCCCCTGATGATGCGCTGGAGCACATGTGCATCATTAGGGGCTGGCTGTAGGAACCGGGAAGAGACAGCTGAGCCCCTTTTGATGTCAGAGAAAACAATGGCGGCATTGTACCAGCTGTGCAGTAACGGATCCCACCAGAACATCACTGGATCTCTGGCCGTGTGAACATTTTTTTTTGTGCATGACCAAGCAAAAAAGGAAAGGAAGGAAAGAGTAGAGGGCCAAATTCCTCTTTAAGCTTCCGTTCATACCTAGGCATTCTGCCAGTCATAGCTAAGCGTGACAAAATGGTCAAGACAAGGAATTTGCTTGTCTTGAATGCGACAAAATGCACAAGACAAAGAATCCCATTAAATTCTACGGCCACTTCACATCTGAGCATGTTGTCACTAGCAGATAAATGTCTGTGGCTGGAAAAAGTACATGAGCTACTTTTTGGCAGATTACAGCACTTTTTGGTCCCATAGATTTTTGTTGCACTTGATTTGAATGACAAAACCCCTAGGTGTGAATAGAGACTGAGTCCTGACCATTAGAAATAAATAAATCAATTATGGATGGATTCCTTTTTTAAATTACATTAAACAGCAAGACTACTCAATACTATTCAATAATAGTTACATACAGTTTACAGGTTAAGAAAAAAAAAAGTTCAGCCTCTCACACACTCCAGGATTTCAGGAAGATATAACATGTGTGTTATCATTCCAAATAACCTGCTCCTCTTTACAGCTCAGGTAGTAGTAATTTTACCAGAGAAACAATGATATCTACAACACAAGAGGAACAAACCTTTGATCCGCCGATAAATTTCGGTAGCTCCCCTGTTCCTCCATGATGAATTTTCTTCCTCACTCCTTCTATGTTTAAACCTATTGCTTCCTCCATTGTACCTGCTATCTGTTAAAGAAAATGGATTCGGACTGAGAGATTAACCTTTATATAGAGATAAAGAAGGATCTACGAAGCTGCCTTGAAAGCATAAGACCTGGGGATTGAAGAGTCTTAGGACGGATTGGCTGCCTTAGTCAGGATTCCCTGTATACTTATATAACCAATATTTCTGCACAACCTAGGGGTGACATACCAAAGTAATATATGTGCAGACATACACCGCATAGGATTCTAAAATTGTTATTTATGTTCTTCAACTGAAAAATAATGATTTGCAATGCTGTGTGATTTATTTTACTGCAATCTTACAGAGGAAAACAGCTTAAAGGAGAACTCCAGGGGGGTGGGAGGGATATAAAAATGCCCTTAAGTCTGTATGTATAGTTACAGAATAACATAAAATGATACTTTTAGGACTACGACTCTAGTTTTCTTGAGTAATAAAAAAAAAAAAAAGGATTCTATCTAAGTCACTATATCCAAAGCAAGGATTTTAGCAAATTATACTGCAGATCCATGCCTGCCTCTGTCCTGTTAAGATGAGATAGGCCTTTCCAAAGGCATTGCTGAATCTGTAAATGTGAGGTTCATCCATTATTATAAATACAGCATCGGCCCCAATACTGTAGTAAGGAAAAGGCAAACTGTAGTTTTGGTAAGTGCACGGGAGTCTCAATCCCCATTTTTATTGCAGTCTATGTTCTTGCTGGGGATATTCAACTTCACTATCAGTCCCTTTGACCATTGTCACTGGGTCTGAAAGTGATAAGGGCCTGTTCATGCTACGTGCATTAACTGGTGTTTTTCTGTATTGGATGGACACCACTCACAGCAAGGGCACCCAGAAAAAAATAGTTTTCTATGTGCCCCCATTCACACCACAATGTGTGGGTGATATGCAGTGTGGAAAAATACAGACATGCTGAATATATCCACAGTGCACTTAGTGGCACCAGAGGTCACCGTGCTGCTGAGTGGAGACCAGTATAAAATGTACACTTTATACCAGTGGTTCTCAACTCGTGGGTCGCGACCCAAAAGTGGGTCGCGACACCCTCTGCAGTGGGTCGCGGCGTCATGTCTGATTAGACCGGCCTGAGACTGAATAGAGAGGGGGAATTTGTGGTTCAGCCTGTGGAACCTATACCCTGCCCATCATTTAAAAAAATGTGAACGGTGTGATGTACTGAAACAGCACATCAAACCACCCTCCCTGCAGCCAGGTAAAATCTGAAGTGCTAGCACTGTTTTAGCGTGCAAACAGTGTACACAGGCTTTAAAAGTTTTCACTGCAACAAGAGTCTCTGGGAAAGCTTCCCATAAGCACACATGTTCTTTTGAAAACTGTCTAAGGGGGGAGTTTCCTCCCCTTGGAGAGGTTTTCTCTTACATCCTGCTGTGACAATGGGACATGGAAGGTGAATAAAACATAACAAGGTTTAAGCATGCCCTACTCTATACAAAACAAAATAAATGTTTTTAATAAACTTTTTTTATCTGTACACCAGCTAAAATTAATATTCGGGTTGGCAATGGTGAATACACAAGGTGCTGTAATGAGACTGAAGCAATTGACAGGTCTCATATTTGCAGTCTCCATACATATCCATCTGGAAGAAAGGCTGCCCATACAGTGATTGCTTGAATACCACATACATGGTAAACAGCGGGGCTATTTTATTCTGACAGCAGATGGGATGCCATCGTTAGAATACCCAGTCACTACAGCTCATAGCTGAATTCACTGTTTTGCAGAGACATTTTAGACCGGCTCCATTGACAAAAGTCAATTGAAAAATTGGGGGTCCCAAGGGGGCCACACAATGGTCAAATTTTGACCAAGTAAGCAGAACTCAGTTAAAATTGGAGAAGTGCATGGTCAGCTATATATAATACAAGCACTGGTGCGGAGTTGAGCAAGTGTATAGACAGCACACACAAGAACACCACCTCCTATCACGACGAATGCTGGCTAATTCTGAAAAGCAAAGCTTAAAGAGGAACTTTACCCACCATAATGTTTCCCAGAAGAGGTACTTTTAAGGCTTAGTTCAGCCTTCAACCAAACTTCAAATGGCTGGTGTCATAGCTGATCACATGAGCAGCACCATGGCAACTGCAATTCAAATAGAGGCTAAGATGGCACCCACTTTTGCTGTAAGGGATAGGAGGGAGTAGTTCTGCTTTTTACCATCTGAATGCTAAACCACCTCCTCCTTAACACTAAACATTCCAATGTTACCCATAACCAAGCCCCCACCTTAAAACTTACATTCACATAATTTTAACTATCATCACTCCTTAAAACTGAATACTTGTTACATTGGCACCAAAAATGCCAGATGCAAAATCCTTAGAGTCACCTGCATTAGGAAAAATGAACAACACTTTTATGGTACCCTTGCCTTGAACTGCCAGAACCACGTTAAATAATTCAAATATTATCTCCTTTGTGTAGTCTCTGCATTTTCAGCTTTATACAGCTGGGTGGGGGGTACCAGGTAGACAAGTTTGGCTGCTAAGATGCAGTGCTAAGATGTAATGAAGTTTCTTTTTTCTAGTACACTCCACATAACCTGTTAGGCAGCATGATATAATGAAGAGAGTGGGTAGTGACAAAGTATATGGTGGGGTGAGGTTATGGGTGTGCTTATGCTAAGTGTTGTTCTCCCATAGAAAGGACAGGTGCCAAATCTGTATGAACCTGTCAAGAGAGAAGTGCAAAGAATCTCATTGATGGCTTCTTTATAAAAATACAGAAGTCAGAGTCAGAACAAGCATGCCCTTTAATATCCAAAAAATCTTTCTACATATACTTACAGCTCATGGATGTAACTGAACTTGGAGATATTTTTCTGCAGCCAAGCCAGTGGCAACAACTTAGCTTCAGTCGCTTGACATTAGCCTACCTTCTTGGACAACTATTCTTGTCCTCATGTTTTTGATCCCTTGCTGCTTCTGGTTACTACTACTCATAAACCCTAGCATCTGCCACCTGCACTGGCCTTTGGTCTGGCTCCTCAATTACACATACCTTTCACCTAACCTGCTCTTTGGCCTGAGGGCTGCAACCTGAGGAGGTCAATGGCACTTCTTAGAGTCTATACATTAATGACAGCTTACATCTACTACTGGTAACGACACAAGGCCTCCAATGGTGTCTGAGACATAACAACATGAAATACAATGATTTTTTTCTCTTTTGCAGAAAATGCATTTTTTGGTCAATGCCAAGCAGTGCAAAGGGTTGGAAAGAAATGAGGATGCTACAGGGAGGAGAGCATGGGAGGACAGACATATTTGAGCTTAGTTAGCAAACAAAACCAACTAGCTCATAGTAGGACATATTTTTGTGATCAACAAAATTGTACCATGCAAGGTGCACTAATGTGCCTCATTGATTGCTTGGGATGGTAAAAGGCTGGTGTTGCTAAAGAACATGGTTTATTGTGAGACACCTTCTTTGTGTCTCATGGCAGTTGGCCACATAACATCTCAGAGTTGCAAAGATAAACTTCCCTCTGCCTGATGCTGTGGATGCAAGAATTTGCTATATAACGCCCAGCATGTGTCAATGACTGTTCATGTCTGAATGGCAAAGTATCGGTACTCAGGGACACCAGCCTAGTATATTTTATCAGTACTAACCTGAGGAGCAAAAGTCCCCTGGTCTAGCAATCCTGCCCTGGTGCAGGCCAACTGGGATTTTAGATTATCCTAGAAACCCCCTTTATGCTGACACGCTTGCAGCTGGAGTAATGCTACATACCAAAGTGTACTAGAACTCACTTCTTACCGTGAAACTGCTTAACAGTAAAATTTCAGCGGTTCCAATAAGCTATTATTTTCTTAGAGACTCATTTCCTTTAATTAGTATAATTAACTATACTGCACATAATTATTTAACCCATTTATTATCACACAACACAATACAAGCTTCCTTGCTATAACAACAGTAACAGGATAAAAAAAACAATCACTTGAAGAATATGTTATGTTCACTAATGACAGGAAGATGTGTATAAAGCTATTATAAGTGACCAACTGCTCCAGCCGGCAGTTAGCTAAACAAAGCCTTGCTTCATACAATGCAAGGATGCTGCAAGCATGAATTGAGCATATAAATGTTGTAGCTTTGTATTACAAAGTCAGAGGATGGTACTTGTAGCCTAGAAGTCTGGCTTTCAATCACAGATGGTATTAATTCTCTTAATGGAGTCTGCTAGTGTGGTTACCAAGGGTGAAATGGGGACATCGACTTGTTAAAACTTTTAAAACAACATAAAAATAAAATGATCATAGTACTATGGAAAAATAATTTGGAAGGTATTATGTAAATGTGATGCAAACCTTTCCAGGTACAAACTATTCTACTGGTGACCAACACCTGTAAGGAAGTTTACATAAGAAAACCTAATCAAGGCCGGCAGCACACAACAACCCATAAACACGGAAAACATTTTTCTGATGGTAAATGTCGGATTTAACAGAGTACCTATCCAAGCATTGCAAAGTAATACTGACTATACATTGGACTGAGGATTAAAGTGTATGGAAAACCCAACAATGAACTTCTTTTATTTACTTCTGCTATATATCCCATTGAAAGTGTTTTGTTATATCTGTTCAATACATGCATAATACACCTGCTGATTTTGCCACAAACTTCAAGAGCTGATAACGTCCTGTGCTCAGGTGAGTGCTCAAGGATCAGGTGAGTATCTGCTTTATTTGAGTCCCCTAGACTGAAAGGAGAACTATGAGGTGAGTGCTTTTCACTCATCCTCATAGTTCTAGCCGACCTGTGACAATGAAGCTGTCACAGGTCGGCTCAGTAGATCGGGAAGTGAGCGAACACATACCGGCGTTCGCTCACTTCTCGATCCTGTCACGGCTCTCTGCCGTGACAGGGAAGGGACTGGATTTCCCCCTCCCCTCTCCGATCCTCCAGCGCTGACTGGCGGAACGGACAGGGGAGGGGGGCGGGTACATCT